CACACACTCACACACACATACATACACCACACCACCCACCCACCCATATATACAGACAAACACAGACACAGACACAGACACAGACACAGACACAGACACAGACACAGACATATATATATACACATATATATATATAGTGGTCGTGAATACAATCTTCACGGCTAATCATCTACCTACCGCATTCCATGGGCAACTCATTTGCGGCCAGAGATTCGTAATTTTTTAGTGTCCAGAATTGAGAGGTTTGATTCGGATGTGACAGAGGTGGCTCGGGTGTTCCTTTCGGATAGAGATACCAGCGCTGCGGATCGGAGGAAAATAAAAAATTTCATAAACGTTAGAGTGATACATGTATTTTGATAGATCACAGCAATCAAAAGTTTACAGTGTATATCTCGAACAGTTCGAAGATTCTTACTCTACTTCTACTTGTAATCTGATAGCGTGGTGGGGTTGTTACTAATCGCGGGTAGTTCCAACCCAGCGAAATCGTGGTCTGCATCTAACAGGGTGCAGCTCATGCTGGCAACAATGCATTCCACGAAGAAATGCCGACTCCACATTAAACAAGTGCATATAAGGCTAAACACCGTACACATAGACAACAAGGAAAAAAATAGTCGTCGTTGCTCTTGTCACTGTAAGACTGTCGTGGGATTGTGCTACCGAAAAGCATTCTGTGCGTATACATTTGCATTGTCTCACTAACTAAATTTGCAGCGATGATAGCATTCTACATTATGCGTATCTGACAATGCAATCTCTAGTCGCAGGCAAAGATCTATACTCAGATCACTTGAGCTGAGCAATTGAAACTTCAACTACTCTTAATGCTCAACTGCCCATGCAGCATCTCTGCGAGAATGGCACTGTGACTCTGAAGTAAACTTAATTATATATCTGTTTAATTATAATACAAAAGTGCTCACCTTGTGACCATGTAGTATCTCCGCAAACACAGCACCGTGACGATGGAAAGGAACACCACTGCCGTCTCCGCCCATTCCAAAACTGATACTCCCGATTTCTGATTGGTCGAAAATTGGACAAAAGTCCAGTAATTATGGAAGTAGAATTCTAAGTGATGTGTATAATGACGCAAATGACGATTTCAAAAAATCTCACTATATAGGTCAGGTCATGGTAGGAGCTACCATTCCTTCGTGTGAATGCTTAAGATATCCGAAGGCTCAGACACATACATCCGCACACGTGCACATACGCAAACTGACACAGGGCACCACACACTGTCCATCCGAACAAACAAACGCAAACACACACCCATATATTAAAACGTATTGATACGTATGGCTTATGTATAACAATACATGCACACTCACATACGCCTATGCATTTATACATGTGCGTACACCCATACACGCATGCAGAACACAGAACAAGATATATTTCCGTGCGAAAGCATATTATTCCTCGTAGACTTGTATCGTGATGGTCGTGCACAACCGATGTTCAGATTATACATATACACACAGATGAACACATGCACAGATACATATAGATGCACGCACAGATCGACACACGCATTTGATACACTCCATATGCAAGTACAACAATTAAAACGCATACCAAGAAGTGATTTATAATGCTTACCATCTGAGTTTAAGTAAGGGGGTCGGTTGTATTTGGTCAAGAATTCGGTCCAGCCCTCGTAGTAATTGTCTCCAAACTGCGTTTAAACGAAAACAGGATGCTTGATTTCTAGTAGAATACGGATGGCAAGAAGCATACAGAGTTTGATACTTTCTCACTGCTTTCTGAAATATCTTGGACAAGACCTGGTAAAAACAATCTCGCCAACCACTGACTAGAAAAAAGAATAAGCAAATGATTATGTAGATAAATATATATGAATTCACTTGCTTTAAATTTTGGTATATAGACGCACCTTTGAGTAAAAAAATGCAAGAAAATGCATCCACAAGTATATCTAAACGTATGAAACCTATATACAAATCTCAAATTGTAAATGAAAATGAATAAACCATTTGCACAAATGTACACATATACGAAGAGACTAGATTAAATATTTGTCTGCCTTAAATGAACTGTCGATATACGAATAACGAATGCACTGGAAATTGGAGCTTCAGCTTCAAGTTAAAACAACGGAATATGTTTACGCAGCTTTTCAAATAGATATGTAGGGTCGGAAACACACTGTCGTACGAGTAGAGACATAGATGCAATGACATACCATATACATGATGCTGTCCGCAGACATATCTAGTGATTGAGGTTTCATATTATTGTTGATGTACATCTCCAGTACCGAATTCCGTTTCTCATATCTGTGCGCACGTGTGCATAGTTTACCGCGCAAGATAATTGATTTCCAGTCTGTAGACACACCTTTTTGACGCTTGTGAATTTAAACATAAAAGCACTTCGAAAACACACACATAACAGCGCAGCCATTCTTCGTGCCCCTATGAACACTTCAAGGGCCAAAAAAATCATGAGTACCCAACGGCGCTCACAAATCCGTCCACTGCTTAATCACACCTCGCAACTCCAATACAGGAGACAGAAACAACACGATAAAATCACACTCATCACTCCATAGATACCAAACTGACTGATAGCAGACATGGATAAGTTCATGAGTCTTGTACTGTTATTCGGTAACTAGTAGCATCCATGGTTATCGCTATGCACGGCTTGATGTCCAATATAAATGTAGTAATGTTAGCTGGAAACCTTCGCACGAAACTACGATTCACGAAGCGTATATTCTTGGATATATGTCTTCTATATGAGAATTTTTAGAGTGAACGAAACACATTTGTATGACTGTCAAGATACAATTGGCATTCCCGACCACCCACAAGTTGCTTGATCCAATATGGATGATACCTACTCATGTTATCACAATAAGAACAGAACAAGAACACTTTTAACCCATAAAAACGCGAAGAAGTACTTTCTGACCCTTATTGAATAACATCAAACAGTCGACGGCTATGTGAAACATAACATAATCAATGGCCATCTATAAACCTCTATATGTACTCGAATGCGATGTAAACAGTCACATTCGTTCATAACATTAATTCCAATTTACTTGTGGGCGACTGTATAGCCTAAGCCAGCATTTTTTTCGACCATGTTAACACTGTAAACCAACAAAGCAAGCAAACACTTACGAGTGAGCATTAGCAGAGCTGAGCACGATGGCGGCTTGGCCCATACCCTTCAGCAACGCGCTCTTGGTTGTCATGGCAACAAATTCGGTGTTCACACTCGATCGAGAGATAATCACTGGCTGCTCTGGACCGACATACAGAGATTGAAAGCGCTCTGGAGTGATATTCTCCTCTCGCGGTATCTGTGGAATATATTAATGTACGTCAGTTTACCTAATAGTTATATATGAAGGCCTCAGTACATTTGATTGCGGTTACAGGTTAGCTTCAAGAAAAACACCGACACCGGTTGGGTTCAATTTTGAAGACAATGATATTGTATATGGTTTGCCCAAATGAATTTAATCATCACGAAACACAGTTTGAATTAAAATATACCAAAGAGAAGCAACCGTAACACAGTTTGAATTAAAATATACCAAAGAGAAGCAAACATTGCTCCAGAAAATGTAGTTCTACACGCACGTGAGTGATGCTACATAGTTATCCACATTAATGCATATGAATTGTTCCGAACAATATTGCACGACTACTTCCTGAAGAATATTTGAAGTCGAATTGTGCACGGATCGGGAAAATCTGCATGCAGGTGTATTAGGAGGTTTGTGCCCCGATGTTGATGGATATACTGGATGTAAGCCTCCTCCACGGATGACAATAGTAAACGTGCGCTCAAATTGAACTTGGCAACGATGCTCTTACCACATACAAGCAAGAATTGATGCATGATAGCGTATGTCAATGATCTGATGTGTGCATTCAGACGGATAAATATATTTCTCTCTCACACTGGATTTTGAGAGGCATCGAAATGCATATTGCAGGTGCACATAGGATCGCTCTTTATTATTTATCATTGGTATGCACGTGGGCGCCATTCGTGCTAGCGGGTACAATCATTGTCGGCATATATAGAGAAAGTAATTACTCACAATTGCGAGCTTTAAACATACTCGATAGTTCATCAACATAATTACATGTGAGTTTATATAATACACAGGACCCTGCCAACCTAGAAGTACGCATCGTCTACAATATCGCCACTGTAGGTACTCAATACCCCTTTACATTTCGCAAATCGTGTATACTTGAGAATATGTGTGCATAGACCTGCCAGTACACTGCATTGTAGCACAACTAGCTTGCGCGCTATCAAGTGCGCAAATTTTCAGCCGTCAGAGCTTGTGTTTCTGCATTGATGCGTGCTTAGGCGTATCATTCTTCTATACCTCGGCAACACGTAGCTTGTGAGCATATACATGGGTAAGCGCGTACATCACATTAGCATGACAAGCACGTTATTGATCCGTGAAAACATTAACGAGAGTTCAATATGTATATCATTTTGAATACAACAAAATAACTCGTGCTAGAATACGGTTGTTGTTTACCAGGAAAACCATATTTCGAAAATGAGAGATCCCTCAGAAAATTTATGGCACTACACTCTGACGATACAAATACAAGAGCCAAAAAACCTACGCAGTATACTTGTCCTGTACAGGTACAAGCATACATAATACACACCTGAGGGCAGGAATGGCAGCTGCATGTGGTACATAGACATACACGCATCTATATATATATATATATATATATATGTAAATGTACATGATATTGATGTGCCAATATACATACATACACATACACACACAAATACACACAAACACACACAACATATATATA